TACTGGAAGAGTTTGGTGGGCATTGACCATGTGTTTGGGAGTTGTAGTTCACCTACATCCAGAGAACGCTGTGGACTCAAACAATGATAGATCTGGACTGAACTTGGCATGAATACTCAATATGTCTACTGGTGGAGTTTTGGGAAAATAGACCTTGACATTTGTGAGTTGTAGATGCTGGAATTTATAGTTCACCTACAATCAAAGAGAATTCTGAACACCACCAATAAAATAGGGCCAAACTTCCCACACAGGCCTCTCATGATCAACAGAAAACACTTTTTTCTTATTGGCTTTGGTGACCCTTCTGACACTTCTGGGGGTCCCAACTCCCAGGTTGAGAAACGCTGCTCTAGACTTGAATAAGAACAGACATGTATCATCTCTAGTTCAGTTGCTTCCCTTACTATTCCCTCGTCTTTTGTTAACGTTCCCTTTTGTACCTGTTCTGTTTTTTGGCTATTAAATATTCCATGGACAGAATCTCTTTGTAAAACGATTCTGCACATTGCCAGTTTCATTGTGAGTGCATAATTGGCTCTGCAGTATAATATTTTCTTTTCTTACTTTTGATCTGTTATGACATGCTATGAATATTTAATCGTCAGTTTCAAAATACGTACTGTCTCTCAGGACCATGCATCTTTTAAGTTTGACTTAGGTTAAATTTGGTTTCTCAGATGTGGATTAAGAAGAATGCCACAAACATCACTAAAAATTATTTGTCTTCATCGTATTGATAGGTTTGATCCAAGTACAGACATAATTGTGAATTTAGGAGGAAGGGGTCCCATACTTTCAAAAAGTTTTGTCTTTATTCCTCCTGTCAAACTCAGGGTTAACTTTATGACAGGGAAACAACAGTACATATGGAGACAAAATTATCACCGAAGTTTTGTCCAGTTTCATGACTGAATATCACAAGTGGAACTCACTTTGTTTCTGGTAAGAGTATTTTTATGGGTTTGGTTTCTTGTAGGATAAGTTGGTGTTTGGGGTGTGAATAAGGATAAACTGCTATTTCATGTATTGTCAAAGGCTTTCATGGCCAGAATCACTGGGTTGTTGTAGGTTTTTTCGGGCTATATGGCCATGGTCTAGAGGCATTCTCTCCTGATGTTTCGCCTGCATCTATGGCAAGCATCCTCAGAGGTAATGTACCTCTAGGTAGTGTACCCCCTTTTTCGGGCTCCATATATCCTCAGAGTTAGTGTACCCCCTTTTTCAGGCTCCATATAGCCCGAAAAACCCTACAACAACCCTGCTATTTCATGGGTGGTGAGTTGCAATTTTTGGCCATTTGTCACTGAAAAACCAAACAGAAAATGTAGAAAGACATTATGGGATAATGAAATTTTGGATAGTCTTTTGGAAAGTTGGAGAACTTTCCAACCAATTGGTTGGAAAACCATGTTAAAAGAGTTGTCATCAGTAGCTGTGGCTCAAATTGGAAAGGTGTCTCAAGTGCAGCGCTGCAGGTTTTGTCCTGCAGCCAACACTATTTAATATTTTTATTAATAATTTAGATGGTGGAGCGCAGGGAAACCTTATCAAGTTTGCAGATACAAAACTAGATAAAGTAGCTAAAATATTGAAATATAGGACTAGAACTAAAAAAAGAAACACCTCTATTTATTATTTATTTATTTTCTATACTTCTACCCTGCTCTTCTCATACTGAAGGGGACTCAGAGAGGCTTACAGTTTGGCCACTTCAGTGCCACATAGTAAACACAGTGTATGAATACATCATATTAAACAATAAACAAATAAAACATATAAATACAATAAAACTGTTAAACTGTTAAAACAGAATACTAAACCCATGGTCATCCTTTATGGTGCTGCATTCATGTCTGTTCCATACTGCACTATTGCCCTATTCCCCGAATGCCTGGTTCCAGGGCCAGGACTTAACTTTTTTTCCTGAAGACCAGGAGGGAGGGGGGCAATCTAATATCATTGGGGAGGGAGTTCCATAGTCGAGGGGCAACCACTGAGAAGGCCCTGTCTCTCATCCCCACCAGTTACACTTGCGAAGGGGGTGGGACTGAGAGCAGGGCCTCCCTGGCAGATCTTAATGGTGTAGCAAATGAAATTCAACAAAGACAAATTCAAAAAGGGAATACTTGGTTGTTCATTGCTGCTTTTGAGGATAGAACTAGGTACAAAGGTTTAAAGTTACAGGAGGGCAGACTTAGAAGGAACTTCTTGACAATGAGAGCCGCTTGGCAGTGGAACCAACTGCCTAGAAAAGTGATGGGGTCTCCTCTGCATATCTTCAAAACAAGGCTACCTGCTTGAGATTTTGAGCTGAAAATCCTGCATTGAGCAAAGGGTTGGGCCTGAAACATCTCCTTCCAGCTCTGTGATTCTATGCCACAAAAAGAGAGGTGTCACTCTTCCAGATGTTCAGCAGAATGCATTCAGTACTCTTCTTCTGGCTAAAGAAATGGCTAATGAAGACAATCTGTGTTCTAGTCACTGATTTCATATTAGAAAACCAAGACTATAACTAGTATTAAACACTTTAATTAATAGTGGCTTTGCCTCAGTGAGAAAGACCCTCATTTGTAAAAGTCAATTGCCCAGTTCAATTCCATTATTGCAATTGACTTATTCAACCTAGACAGAATGGTCTGAGCATAGAGGGGAGGTACCTCATGCTCTAACAGGGATGCAAGATGCTCCCTTCTCTGCTTGGGCCATGGGCTGTCTCTTTGTGTGCATATTCCCTAAAAGATAGTAAAAATGGTAAAGGTAAATGTTTCCCTCCTACTAAGTCTAGTTGTGTTTGACACTCAGGTTGGTGCTCATCTCCATTTCTAAGCCGAAGAGCCAGCATTATCCTTAAATACCTCCAAGGCCATGTGGCCAGCATGATTGCTTGGAGCGATGTTATCTTCCCGCAGAATTGGTACCTATTGATCTACTCACACTTGCATGTCTTTGAACTGCTAGGTTTGCAGAAGCTGGGGCTAACAGTGGGAGCTCACCCCGCTCCCCGGATTCAAACCACCAACCTTTCGGTCAGCAAGTTCAGCAGCTCAGCGGTTTAACCCACTGCACCATCAGGGGTTAAATACCAAATCAGAATAATCCATGTAATAAGAGAGTATGGATTTCTATGCATGACTGTGAAAGCTGGACAGTGAAGAAAACTGACAGAAAGAAAATCAATTCATTTGAAATGCGATGCTAAGAAAGAGTTCTACAGACACCATGGACAGCTCAAAAGGCAAATCAATGGTTCTAGAATAAATCAAGCTTAAGCTCTCGAAAGAAACAAATATGACTAAATGAAATTGTCATACTTTGGACAAATCATGTAAATATATAACGCATTAGAATAGATAATCATGCTTTGTATATTACAAGGGAGAAGGAAAAGAGGAAGACCGCATTCCAGTTGTCTAGGCTCAAATCTAAGGAGCCACGGCCCTGAGTCTGCAAAGCTGTTGATGATAGAGTGACTTGGAGGTCTCCCATTCAGAAAAGTTGCTGTGAGTCAAAGTGGACTTAATGGCAGTTAACAATAACAAGCTTTGATCCCCATTAACCAGTTACACATACAGGCTTCTCCCACTTTTCAATGCCTTGCCTTTTGACAACTTGCTCTTTCGGTGCTTGCAAATTACAGACAAATCCAATTAATTTGACAAGACATCAGTTCTTTTGTCAGTTCTTTTTGCTTACAAGGCTCACTTGGGTCTGCTTGCAAGGTTTCTCTACAGAAAGAGTAATTTCCCCCCTTTAATCACTGGCAACAAAGATCTGCATAGTCAAAGCAATGGTATTCCCCATAGTAACCTATGGATGTGAGTGCTGGATCATAAAGAAAGCTGAGTGAAGGAAGATAGATACTTTTGAACTGTGGTGCTGGAGGAAAATTCTGAGAATGCTTTGGACTATGAGAAGATCCAACCAGTCTATACTTCAGGAAATAAAGCCAAACTGTTCATTGGAGGAAAGGATATTAGAGGCAAAGATGAAGTATTTGACGACAATATGAGAAGATAGGAAAGCTTAGAGAAGACAATGATGTTGGGTAAAATAGAAGGAAAAAGGAAGACCAAGCGCAAAATGAATAGATAGTATCCTTGAAGTGACTGGCTTGACTCTGAAAGAGCCGGGGGTGGTGACGGCCGACAGGGAACTCTGGTGTGGGCTGGTCCATGAGGTCATGAAGAGTCAGAAGCAATTGAACAAATAAACAACAACAACAATCACTTTGAATAGGAGCCCCTGGTGGCACAATGGGTTAAACCCTTGTGCCAGCAGGACTGCTGACCAAAAGGTCAGAGGTGCAAATCCGGGCAGTGGGGTGATCTCCTGTCTGTCAGCTCCAGCTTCCCATGCAGGAACATGAGAGAAGCCTCCCACAGAATGGTAAAACATCCAGGTGTCCCCTGGGCAATGTCCTTGCAGACGGCCAATTTGCTCAGACCCGAAGCGACTTGCAGTTTCTCAAGTCTTTCCTGATACAAAAAGAAATCACTCTTGAATGTGTGCAAAACCTCTCTAGCTTTAGAACGGATTTAAAAGAGATAGTGTGTTATTTAGATCTTTCAATACTCAAAATACATTTTCAAGCTAAAACCACCCAGTTTCCAATTTTCAGCCAATTACCCTTTTTACACTGTTCCAGTCCCTCACAGGTCTGATAAACAGGGGCTTAATGTATCTTGAAGTTAATTCCCAAAGATTATTCACTTTTAAACCAATGTGGGACCAGTTATATGATCTCCAAGGGTACTTTATGACATAACCATCCACTAACTTGAAGGTGAAGGAAGGAAAAACAATGCAGATTATAGTGTTTCTTTAGTCCTAAATTACCCGTAGTAAACACTGGGAATCTGGTGGAAGGAGGAGAGACAATAGTACTTACAATTTACTGCTTTGTTTTATTCCAAATGGCTGGTAGCAAATTCTGAGAATCTTTCAATTATGTATAAATATTATAAAACTGGTATCCCAGGATTGGCTGAGCTACTCACCTCAAGGTACACAACCCATGGCATCACTAAAATGGCCACAAGCAGATCAGCTACTGCCAAGCTGACCACAAGGTAATTAGTGGTGGTTTGCAAACTACGTTCTCTCATAACTGCCAGGCAGACAAGAACATTCCCAAAAACTATGGCCAAGATCAAGACACAATAACAGAGGGCATAGTAGGCAGGAGATTGTGGCAATCCAGGTCCCGTGGAGTTATCCTGCCAAAGCGAGGCTGATAATGTCGAATTGGGATAGCTACTGATTCTGCTAAAGGATTTCATTTTGAGAATGAAGAAGACCTGGAAAGAGAAAGAGAGAATGAGACTTGGTGTGCATTTGTGGGCAGTACATAGAATAGTGCTTACAATAATATTTTGAGCCAATATTTTTTCAGAAGTACAAGAGTCACTCGGTTCTTTGGTGAAATAATTGCTCATGCCAGACATATATATGGTTGTATCTAATCTGTTGTAATTCATTGTGGGGCAAAGAAGTCGAGCCTGGAAGAAAGTGATAGTTGTTGAATATTTTCAAGCTGGGCCAGCCCCACAGTTACACATAGTGAGGCAGCTACCATCTCATTTGCTGAAAGTCATAGCAGGGTTGGTATGTATCAATATGCAGAGGGATCTTGTAGAAATGTTTGTGCTTCATTTTCTGCCTTATGTGCTAAAGTAACATGATTGGTTTGGGAACTCGACATCTTGAGAAGAGTGAGTGAGGAGCATCATTTGCTATTCTGCATCAAGCAACACAATCTCTTGGGCTAATTCTGTTTCCAGGAAGGATCCCAGGCACTGGAAGATGCATAGGCAACATAAAAGGTTTGGACACAGTCATTGCCAAATGCACTTCTATGGGTTATATTTCCAGTGTGTCTTGTTACACCAGATCGTCCCTCACATACCAGCCATGAAGAACTGTCATCACTGGTATATCTAGAGTGTCTTGGGACCTCTTTTGTTGGAGAAGGAAAGTAGGGGAAAGTGGGTGAAAACAAGTGTTGTATGCTTTGCTCTTTGTTTTAGACCAGGCCTGTACAACCCTCCAGATGTTTAGGCCTCCAACTCCCAGAAGTCCTAACCAGCTTGTCCAATGGCTAGGAGTCCTGGAAGCTGAAATCCTCAGCAGTGGTGCAGTAGAGCAAAGGCTCTTAGTGCCAAAGCCCTGAGACTTTTTGATTAGCAAGGATGACATAGAATCTGTGTGGTGTAGTGATTTGAGTGTTAGACCACGACTCTGAAAACAGGGATTCAGCCATGAAAATCAACTGGGTGACCTTGAGTAAGTCACAGTTTTCCATTTTTAGAGGAAAGCAAGGGTAAACCTCTTCTGAAAAATGTTTTGCCAAGAAAATACCATTATATATTGACCTTCACAGCAGTATAAGTTAGAAATGGCTTGAAGGCACACAACAATAATAGTTACAAAAAAGGGTGACATAATTTGTCATACACCCCTCAAGTATATTTGTCTCTTCTGAGACTAATTGTAAGCCTAACAAAAACTGAAGAGTGGATTATGTACTATCTCTATTGTAACACTAAGAAAGTGGCAGTGATTTTATGAGCAATTAAAACTCATTAGCTGTACAAAAACCATGTAGATGGAGATGGAAAATACAAAAACTGGTTTCATAATGTGAATCAGAAGTGTTGCCTACTTATTGGTATTTCTCTTGCAGGCATGACCTTTTCTGTAGCAAAAACTTTTCAATATATACATTTATCATGGTTCTAAAGAAACTTACTTCTCATACTGAGCCAAATACTATAGAGTCTGACTTATTTCTGGACTGGACTGATTGCTGCTGCTTCCTGTGGGAAGTTCAGTTTAAACTTTCACAAAACTGTAGTTAGTGGTACTCAATGATCAATATCCTCACAAATGTCGAGTAATTTCTAAGGAAAGAAATAGGCTTGGTTCCTGCACCGCTGAACTCACTGGATAAAATTCCATCCCAAAGTAGTGTGCAGCAGGAGGTACACTCCAGGGTGCCCGAAGTCTTTTACTGTTCCCAATCAACTCCTGATCGTTCTCTGAATAGGCTCCATTTACTTTTGGTGAGACCTTTTGCGCTGATATTAAGCTTCTATCCTTAGTAAGTTAGCTTGCAGATAATTTCACAAATCAACTACCTCACTGGAAACTCGGGACAAGAATTCAATGGCACTTCTATGAAGCAGAAATGAGGCATTTTTAAAACTTGGGATCTCTTGTCATGGCTGCCATGCACTGATGCACAAGGCATTGGCAATCTGGCCTGGGCAACCTGCATAATCTAGATGGAACCCTGGCTCATTTTAGGGATGCGGAAAGGACCTTTGAGCACTGCATTCAGAGCACATGCTCTGAATGCAGTGCTTGATCACACTAAGTCATTAAAATATCTTGAGCACACTAAGTCATTAAAACAGACTGTTAATGTTGTTGTGATCCTTTGAGTCATTTCCAATTTATGGAAACCTAAGACAAAAGGTTTTCTAGCCAAGATTTATCCAGAGATGGGTTTGCTATTGTCCTCCTCTAAAGCAGACAGAATGTGAGTTGCCTGACTGAGCAAGAATTCAAAGCTAGTCTGAAGAGTCTTCAAACCACTCCACCACACTGGCTGTCAATCCACTTTAAAAAAAACCCACACAGCACAAGATTATTTATATTCCATTTTCCCTCCAATATTTGGTTCCAAGCCATCTTATTCAAAGTAATATGGATTAAAAACATCAAAAACATCAGTTGTATGGAGAGAGAGCTGGTGGGGTAGAGAGAGTCAAAACTGTTTAAGTTTCACTAATGGTCAGAGTATTTAAAATAATACCAACAAAATGACACACCATTAAATGTCCCTTGCAGTCCATTCATAAAACCCTAACTGAATAAGATATTTTCCACTTTCCCATGGACAAAAGAGCATGGAAGGAACCATCCTAACTCTCTGGAGAAGGATTTCCAAAGTGTGGCGCAGCCTTACAACATCTGGCATTCCCTGATCTTTTCCCTTGCAAGTGCTAGTCAGGTTTGGTCCTTCTTTGGTGATTAGACAGGATCTGGTGCCTTCAGGGTTGTTTCTCCCAAATTCCCCTTGACAGAACTGGCACTGGGGATTTGGGAATTGTAGTAAGCCTAAAGTAACTTCCTCCCTTAAATTATGAAGAACACTTCGTGTAGCCTTCAATTGTTTTTATTTTAAAGTCCAGAGGCTACTTGTTATTTCGTCCATCACAAATGATATGGTACAGTGCAGTTCCAAATAACGATGAATACTGACAAAATTAAGCTCAGAGTGTGCAATATATCAGACATTCAGGACAAGGTGACTGACTAAGATAGCATTGTGACTATAGTTAACAGATAAAGAAAACTCATCAAATGCAGATTGGTGGAATCCACAAGGGGAGCTGACTGATCTGTGGTGCAAGAATGAAATCTAGAGGTGTGATGCATTCTCATTGTGCTGAAGGATGGATGGAAGTGACATCTCTCTCTGATTTCTGAGAGCCAGTCTGATGATAGGAATGGCTGTTTTTAGACTTAAGGGAAGGAGGGTAGGGGGTGACAGGAGATGGAGTAAAGCAGCACTTGATGAATTACAAGACCTTCTACTATTACTCTATGGTGCATTCAAGTCACAGATGCAGAAATATAAAATTTCCGTTGAGTATTTAGACATCCAAAGAAAAGAGGCAGGCAGACAAAGTGATGGAGAGAATGTTAATGCAGCAAATAGATGAGTTCTAGGTAAAGACAGGCAGAAGAAGAAACATGTCTTCATGTGCTTATTGATACTTGTATTTTATTCTTTAGGCAGGTTTTTTTCCTGTTTTATACAAAGTTCAATGCGCTTCAGTCTTTATGTGATTGATTGGTCTTCTTCGGGACCTGCATATTCAATCTGACAACAGTAAAATAGTGCAGTTGTATGGAGAGAGATTTTCACTAATTCCAGAAATTTCTGCTGTGGAGGCACAGGTAGTATTCCCATGAACTCTACCAGCGAAAGATAAAGGACCACGCAGGGACTGGAGGATACTGCGGGTAAATGAGTGCTATAAAAAGCATGTTGGAGTCTTTTGCATGATAGAGCTGAGGAAACACAGGGCTGGTTGTTTCCTGGCATGTCCTATTGACATAAAAAAGCTCTATATGATGGCAGCCACAATGGTGCCCCCCCCCCGCCCCCGATTTTTTCAGGTAAAAAAACCCCATAGTTTACTCATGAATTTTAACTGGTTAACCAAATTCCCATGCTAAGTCTAAGAGAAGCAAAAAGTAGGGTTCCTTCAGAAGTGCAAGCATTATTTCAACCAAATTTTGATAATTTATTCACGCTGTTATTATCAACTTTTCTGCCAATTTACATTGCAATAGCAGCAATAGCCAACTTAGTAGAAGTTTTGACATCACAAATATTTCAACATTTTTGACGTGAAGATGATGTAATCCACTGAAACTGACATCAGAATCAGACTCCCCAGGTTAAACTCTATAAGAAAAACTTAAATTTCAGTACAATTTATGATATTTCCAGGTATATAACAACTATGATAATTTGTGCTTGCTTTAAAAGTTTATACTTTAATTTCTCCTAAACTATCTAGTATTTTAATTAGGTCCCAAATAAAAGGTATTTTATGTAGTTTCTAAAACATAATTATATGTGTGGGACATAGATCTTAATTTTTAGAGATTCCAATTTAAAGTGAAAACATATGTATTGATTAATATGTCTAATTCTAATAAACCTTTTTTTTGTGAAATTTTACATTTTATTATGTAGTTTCATTTGTTTTTTACCCTATGTAATTAATTATCTCTAATAGTTTTTGAAATATTATTTTAAAAAACACCTGAAAGTAATTACATCACTGCTCTCTTGCTCCTCCCCCTTTCAGAGCTCTCTCGTACATCTGCCTTCTTGCTCTTTCCACTGGGGTATAAAAGGAAGGCATGAAAGTAGCTGGGGGTCATTCCAAACACAGCTGTCTTACTGTGCAATTGTCTGCTAGTTTGAGTTTATGTTCTGAGACTTCAAGCCCTGTTAGTTGCTGTTAGTGTTTCCTTTCACCCACCTGACTCTAGGGAATGTTTAAACGTCTATCAAAACAATTGAGTGTTTTTGAGTTCATGACAAAAAAGGAAAGGACAAATATTGAAGACCAAGAAGGCAACAGGTTGAGAACCATTGCAGCAGCTGGTACAGATGAAGATCCCAGAACGTGCACATCTGGACTGCAGGTGAAAACTGAGGAAACTGTAGAAACTGAGGTGTCTACCACTGGTTTATCTCATCCAAGCCCTGCCAATGAAACCATAGAACAAGAGCAAAGACAATAAGCTATGTCATTGTTAGACCTTGGACTTTATATGACCAGGAATGTTTCTAAAGACTAAGTGAAATTTCACCCAATTAGCATAAAATCCACAGACTCCATTGCCAGGATATGTATTTCCTGTGGATAAGAAAAGACATCAAAGTTTTCAACAGATTTTCCAGGTTAGCCTACTCTGTAAGTACTGTGCTACTCTGTGAGTATTGTAAATAAGTACTTTGCACTCTGTACTCTGTAAGTGCACTCTGTTAAATACTGTGTGGTGTTTGGAGGTAAAGGTGGTCATCAGAAGCTTGGTGATTGGTTGCTAAACAATTTGTGCAATGGAAAGATGCAATAGAAGTCCTTCAATTGACACCAAAAACTAGAGTACCATCAGAACAACTTGTGCTTGGTTGAAAACTACTTGCTATTTCACAATGGAAAACATCTCGATATAATCTGTCATCATAATAAAGGAAATAAGAAGAAAGCTGAAGAAAACAGAAACCTGTGTTGGCAACTTCACCAACACCAATGAAATACTATAGGCTAACTGTGTAGATCTCATTTCCAGACTTTTTCTGCAGTCAGCTTCAAGAAAGGTTGAAAAGGCACAGGGACTGCAAGTGTTCCTCCCTATTAATTTTTAATCCAACTTGAATAAGTACACAAAACTTTACAATGAATGTCTTCAAGATACTGACACACTGATAGAAGAGTTTGACCTGTTTTGTAGGAAATGGAAAAAGATTGCAACTGCAGAAAAAACATGAAATGCACTGAAAACATATTTTGTCTGTTATAGAGAGTTTTTTTCTGAACGTGAAGAAATTTCTTCAGATTTGTGCAACATTGCCAGTGTCAACAGCTACAAATGAAAGGTTGTTTTCAACTCTTTGAAAACATACATAAGAAGCACAATGGGGCAAGAAAGACTGACTGGATTTGCACTTTTGAGTGTCCATCGAAGATGGAGCCTGATTGCTGTCAAAGTATATTGACACAGTTTTCAAGTGTTTCCAACAGGTGTTGTAATCAATTAAATTACCAATTAAGAATCATTTTCAGATTTATTTTTAGACTTGAAACTTTGTAGCTAGAATAGAAATTCGATTTGATTAAGTCTATATAAAAATATAGAATGGTCAAAGATTTGCTAAAAAATAAAAATTGTTTCAAGCCCCCCGCCCCAGGCTACAGACTTGATGGCATTACTCCTTATGGCTGTTAAGATCTTGCCACAGTCCTCCTTTCAAAGAGAAATGTGGATTGAATTTCATTACATGTTATTTTAGTGATTTCTTGAAATCTACAATAATGGTATATAATGTTCCTTAATGAATATCAACTGTGCTTCACACAAAGGGAAAGGAAGAAAAACTCTCTAAAACTGAATGAAATATGTTTAAACACTTGGTTCACACACCAAAATGCATCTCTTGAAATTCCATCGGTTAATACAGCTAAATGTTTGAACCTACACTTGAAAAGCCCTCACCCTGATAGAGCTGATATGCGATTCCTGTTTGAGATGTTGAGTCATCAGAGAGCCATAAGCTATTCTCCTTTCCAATTTATTGAAATCATCAGCTCATAATGAAAGGAGCAATGCTAATATTCTGGTCAACATTTGTGTCCTTTGTCTGAAATGGATTATCAAAGCACCAGTCTGTAACAGCACACAATTTAAATTCTTGTGAACGTATTCATACCAAATTCTTCTAAGATGATTCTCATTGTTTGTCTACACATCCACACTTTCAGCTTTTCATCTCCGTGACATTTCCTAATCCAAAAAGCAATTTGCAAAATCCACTTTATAGCAAGAACCTTTGGCATCAGAAATAAGTATTCGATATCATGGCTATAATCATTTTGTCAACCATACAGCAGAATTTCCAAACGGTGATTCCAAAAAGAAAAATTGTAGCTAGGAGCGGAATATATAAACACACGCACAAAAGTGCTAAAAAGCACATACCAGTGTTTGTGGGTTAGGTTCCAAAAACAGACACCAAGAACCCAAAATGATTCCAATAATGCATTTTATTTTGTCACTTCATCAATAATGTTGCAAGGTTTAGAATCATAAATAGTCTTCAGTTCAGTCATGAACCTCAAAAGCTAAATGGTTTATGGTATAGTGAAGTAGATCTGAGACCATTTATGGTTTTATGTAAGCTTGTCAGAACTAGCATGTTCTCTTTTCCACCTTCCATTTATTTGTTATATTATCCACAATTTGCATTATCTTTTCCTCTTTCTTAGTTACCAAAATCCCCTCTCTTGGTCACTTCTTTCTAGATTGTTCTATATGTTTTGCAAGGACAGATATTAAAGGAGAAAAGCTGCTGGAAATAATTAAAGCAAAAACATATATAAAAAAGGAAATATTTTCAGTGGCACTTAGTCATATTATTGTAGTAGTTTCTAAAAGCTGTAAATGTGTTCATTTGCATATTCACACATAGGTATTTATATATAGATGTGGTCTGTACATAACTTGATGAACATAACAAGTAGCATGATATATGTTTTAAATCCACTAAATTTATATTTCGACAGCATCAGCCTTAAAGCATAATATTATGCTTTCAATATAGTAATACCCTCTAAGGACAATTGATGATAAGAGGTTCTGTGTTTTGAAGTCTTTCATGGCTGGAATCACTGGGTTGTTGTGTGTTTTCCGGGCTGTCTGGCCATGTCCCAGAAGTATTCTCTCCTGACATTTCACCTGTATCTATGGCAGACATCCTCAGAGATTGTGAGGTCTTCACATAGATGTTTTGCTTGACATAGATGCAGGCGAAATGTCAGGAGAGAATGCTTCTGGAACATGGCCATATAGCTAGGAAAATACACAATAACCCAGTTAAGAGATTCTGCTTAGAATACTGTCAGTTTTAATATACAGTACTTTAAAAGAAATATGGTTGTATTGAAACTTAAGGGGTTCAAAGACTAATTACTCCAGTTTTCATGGCAGCTTTTTTGGATATGTTTTTGCCATTCCCCACACATACATTTTTAATAATCTCTATCCAATTGGAGAGTCTGGAGAGAGAAATGACCCCTCTCCACTTAACCAAGAAAAGCAAAACAATTTCAAGAAGAACATGCTAGTTGGTCTTCTGCTTTCACTACCCTGTCCTCCAGTAATAATACATTTTTTTTCCTCCACTATAGTCTATAGCATTACATTTATACATAAGTACGAGTTTCCTTTCAGGTTGCTATCATGCTTTTAAAGATGTTCAGAAAGCTTAAGTTAAAAGCAGAAAATCTTTGAAGAAAGAAACAAAATAGGAAAACAGTGACTTACCCTTGTCACTCTTGTTCACTTCTGGAAGAACATAGAAAACAAGTTAGAATTATGCGGCTCTGAAACCATACAATTCCAAGGAGCTCAGCAACTTTGTAAAAAAAGAAATAATTGTAAGGAGCCCAAAATACATGATTGCTGGCAAGGTGAAGACAGTGGCATCACAATTTCCTAGGGGAGCCTTTAGACCATGTTGCACATTTAAGACCCGACTGTTATATCCGTACAATCTCCAGATGGTTTTGTGAAGATCTCCACAAGCTCCTGTAGACTTGCTTCCCTGGTGCCTCTGTCCTTGGTGCTGATACAATAAGCTGCTGTTTTCCTGACTCCTCTCCTCGCAACCTCACTCTTCCGATCCCTATGATCATCTGCTTCCCTCCCCTTTAACTTTACCAGCCTCTCTCACATGCCATTTGCGCTCTCAGCAGGTCCCTGCTTCCCAGATATTTTGATAGCTGAATGCTTCTGGTCTTTGCCTTGTTCACTCTTTCCACATGTTGACAGTTAAAATCCATTAGCAGGAATGTCATGCAGAATACAAATTCAGAACATTAGGATTTCTCAAGAAGAAGAACATTTATAATAGTGAATGAAATGTTAGAATTGATTTCTACAGATTGCTTGGGACTACCATTTAAAATTCTGCCGAGGCAGGTTTAGGCTTGAATCCAATCAGGGTGCTGATTTCTGACCAAATCATGCTTTTGAGTATGATTCAGATTAGTTTCCATGGTATTTTCAAGGGAGGCCAAGGGTTCTTGCAAAGAAAAGTCCTGCCTAAAAAACCCTAAAAGATTATTCTAGGTTTTTAGTGTTAATGATATGAAAATTCACCTAAACTTCCTTGATGGCCAAAAGACTAATTTTCTACATCTCTGATTCAGATTATAATGGCATAGACCTCTCAAAATCTAACTTTAGAATGATGGAATTGGGGAATTTTATGCAATGCTGTTTTACTGCCTATGGCACAGAACAAATTGGCATTACACTCACCCCTTGGTATTCCAGCGATGGAAACAAACTGGGCTGACAAGTGAATTTCATTTCAGCATTGATGGTCTCAGTTTAATGTTGGAACAGTGTTACAAACTACAATTAAAGTCAGCAAACTATTTTAGGGTGCAGAACTGGCCATGTGGCATGGATAGCATTGTTTCACCAAGAAAGAGGAATAGGAGGCCATCGTGTAACTCCAGTTTCTGCTACTTGAGCCATTTACCTCATTGTTCCTATCTTTGGGTGAGAGTAGATTGAAAAATACACATTAAGCAAGTAGAGATCAACAGTTTATTGGGTTGCTGTAAGTTTTTTGGGCTGTATGGTCATGTTCCAGAAGTATTCTCTCCTGATGTTTTGCCTGTATCTATGGCAGGCACCCTCAGAGATTGTGACAACCTCAGCTCCATTTCTAAGCCAAAGAGATAGCATTGTCCATAGACACCTCCAAGGTCATGTGGCTGGCACTGAACGCCATTACCTTCAAGCCGGAGCAGTACCTATTGATCTATTCACATCAGCATGTTTTTGAACTGCTAGGTTGGCAGACGCTGGGGCTAATAATTATTGATTTAAAAGTAGTTGCTCCAGTATGCTTTTTCATTCTATATCAGATAGGAATAATCAGTGAATATAAGAGATTGAAATAAGCTTGCAGTATCTGAACTGAGAAAATGCAAAAATGTACACATTATGCGGAATGAGACATTAGCCTGTGAAAGTTGAATTCGAGACTAAAGGCAGGGTATGACTGTGAGTCATATTTCTAAAGATCTCTTTATGTAAACAAAACATCTCACCATGCACCAAACTAGTACTTCAAGGGGAAAATGTTTTGTGTAGCCACCCTCCATGATGTGCCCATTCACTTCTTGCTGGGAACATTTTACATGCAGGATTTTGTTTTTAACATGACCTCTATTTGCAGCCCATTGTCACCATGGGGAATTACGGTGTCTCAGTTTGAACCTAACATAGAATCATAGAATCACTGAGTTGGAAGAGACCTCATGGGCCATCCAGTCCAACCCCCTGCCAAGAAGCAGGAAAGTTGCATTCAAAGCAATACGAGGATGGTTCTTACTCTTCTCATTACTAGGGATTAGAGATGAAACAATGGTGTTTAAAGAAGGTAGCCTTTAAAGAACAACTTCCAAAATCCTTAGACAACATGGTAAATATGAATAAATGAATGTAACTTCATTTATAGCCTGCTCTATCTCCCTGAGAGGACTCAGGGCGGCTTACAACAAAATACACAGTGGCAAACATTCAATGCCAACAAGAATATATAAACAAATAAAAAAACCCTCAATAAATGATAAAACAACTTAAGTAACATTTGGAAAAGTTATCTTTTGGACTACATCTTCCAGAATTGGCTGAGATTGCTTGCTATTTAGCAAGGTCAATATTTCTCTTAAGGACCAATTTGATTTGTCACAATTAAATTCAACACAAACAATGCAATCCCACACATGTTGTAAATCCCATTGAGATCAGTGAGGCTTAATCCAATGAAATAACTTGTAGCCTTAGTCATAGTAGAATGTTAAGCAAATATGTTGTTGCTTCTTTGAGATAATATATTGTTATCAAACCAAGACCAAATGTATATCTGCAGCTTGAGAATGTTTTGCCTAGTAATATCTCCATCTGCACCAATCTGTAAGTTTTATATACTGGATTGTTGACAGTAATTTTCATCAATATTATTGTCATTTATACAAAGGGCTGAGGTGGCAATGCCCAACCTTGGAAATCTTAGATTCTAAGGAGAATATGTCAAGGTGCTGAGGACAATGTTGGTGAAAAGGAGGAAGAGTATAGATCAAAAGAAGGGACTCGTTGTCCACGAAGACTCCAGGATCTTTTTCACACGTACTGCTGTCAAACTAAAATACAGAATGGGGGATGCCTGGCTCGAGAGCAGTATGTGTGAAAAAGATCTTGGAGTCCTCATGGACAACAAGTTAAACATGAGCCAGGAATGTGATGCAGCAACTAAAAAAGCCAATAGGATTTTGGCCTGCATAAATAGGAGTATAGTGTCTAGATCCAGGTAAGTCATGCTACCCCTCTATTCTGCCTTAGTCAGACCACACCTGGAATACTATCCAATTCTGGGCACAGAAATTTAAGGGAGATATTGACAAGTTGGAATGTGTCCAGAGAAGAATGACTAAAATGATCAAGGGTCTGGAGAACAAGTCCTATGAGGAATGGGTTAAAGAGCTGGGCTTGTTCTGCCTGCAGAAAAGAAGACTGAGAGGATACATGATGGCCATGTATAAATATGTAAGGGGAAGTCATAGGGAGGAGGGAACAAACTTGTTTTCTGCTGCCCTGGAGACTAGGACACAATGGAACAATGGCTTCAAACTACAAGAAAGGAGATTCCACCTGAACATGAGGAAGAACTTCCTGACTGTGAGAGCTGTTCAGCAGTGGAACTCTTTGCCCTGGAGTGTGGTGGAGGCTCCTCCTTTGGAGGTTTTTAAACATAGGCTGGATGGCCATCTCTCAGGATATTTTGAATGCGATTTTCCTGCTTCTTGACAGGAGGTTGGACTGGATGGCCCAAGAGGTCTCTTCCAATTCTATAATTCTATGAAATCCAGTGTTGTATGGTGCTGTCTCTAAATGTCATATTTTATCCCTTTTTTTGACCTTGTTATGGGTTTAAAATTTCTATGTGAAAACAAAATAGATGATTGGTTTTTAGAGCAGAACTTGGAAATGACCCTTTTCAGGCCATACTGGACTAGAGTTTCCAAGAAAGCAGTTTTCCAAACTCTGCTTTAAATCCATCTGATACATCGAGAATTGTGATTGATCATCAGTGATGGGATAATAACACAATAACTTATGTGCAGATTGTACGAAATCAGGCTAAGATATATAAATTAGGAGATATGCCCTTAGTTGAACTGCCATCAATGAACATATATTTCAGTGACACAATGATTTAGAAAGTGGATGGCAAATCAAAATCCAAACTAGCAAATAATGTTTTTATTTTGTTTTCTCATTATCTATCTTGTTTTCTAAGGTCACATTCCTTACTGACCCAGCTATGTCCAGCTTCCTTAAGTGAACTCCCCCCCCCTTCTATACAAATCTTCATACCAAAATGAATAGCACAAACAGGGCAGGAGGTCAAAACTATTCTCTGTGCAGAATTATCCCCACAAGGACAATACGGAAGGGTAACAGCATGGCTGAAATGTTTAATTGCCTTCATTAAACATGTTCCATGAATTAATAGGGACTTCAAGTGTCAAAGAGGTCAGTCCTTTCCCCATAACCTTAATAACAGAATCTGAGCAGGCAGTTTAATTCCTGACACAGGTTTCGAGGAACTGGTATTCCCAAAAGAAATGCTTCCTTTTGCCAAACCAAGGAAGAAATACAGGCAGTTCGCAAGTTACAACCATCTGACTTACAAACTACTCATAGTTAAGAACAGGGAGTGAGACAACAGGAAGTGAGGAAACCTATCCCTCGGAAGGGAAATTCACTCCTGAAAGAGTTACCAAAGGGAAATGTGTCTCCACCAAGACTTCATCATCAATCTCTGTTTCCACAACAAGCCACATTTTTCAAAATCCAATTATTACTGGGACAGAAAATAGGGCAAAATCTTCTGAACAGGGGCATATACAGCAAAGCAGACATTACGGTGGTGTTAAACTTTTCCTATGCTATCCAAAGCTGAAAATATAAATATTTTGGGCTGAAGATATACTTAAAAATGTACCTGCTTTGACTTATAAACAAATTTAACTTAAGAACAAACCTACCGAACCTATTTTGTTTGAAACTTGGAGACTGCCTGACTGCTTGCTTTCTGGAAGCAACTTTTGTTAGTGCCATCAAGAACTGATCTGTGAGTGAAAATGCACAGGAAAATCTTGAAGCTGTATGTGATATGAATCAAGATGTAATACAACAATATTTACTATTTATTTATTTACTGTATATTTATATATCGCCTTTCTCACCCCCTCACAACATACTAATGACAAAAATACAGTGCCAACATATAGTACACAAAGAAATCATAATAACTAATTACTACAGATAACTATGAATTTAAAATCAATTAAAACCATTAAACATAAGGCATACATAACATTTAAATATTCAGACAACCATAAAATTATCCTAGTATAAACACTAAAATCCCATGACCCAGAAATCGTATACCATAGCCATTCCCAATTGTCATTGCACTTGTTCCTCAATTATTATTTGCACTGCATTATTTATTAGGCAAAGTTTTGATCCCACAATCACGTCTTTGTTCTCTTTCTAAGGGCCAGGAGGGAAGGTGCTGTTCTAATCT